CACACACAGAAGTACTCACTCTGACCCCAAAGGTCATGGTCTTGCCCACAGTGCTGGGGTCTGTCCAGTCCCAGGTGACCCGGCTGTTGTGTGGCGAAGAGTAACGTCCAGTCAGGTACTCGTAGATGCTGGACTTGGAGGCGGGCAGGGCGTGGTAGCAGGCGCTGGGCACGTGCATTCCGGACAGTAGCATGGTCAACGAGGTCACCAGAATAATCAGGAAGAACGTGATCACTGTGAAAAGGTGAAATGGCATAGGTTTAATATAAAACGCCCCTATCAACACGCTGGGTTATTTAAGAGGAGGGACCTCCGAGTTTAACGTCCATCTCCGAAAGGACCGAGCCAAGTAGAAAATTCGTGTAAAGTGCCTTTCTCAAGGACACAACTTCAGACCAAGCTGAGGCTCGAACTCCCGAACCCGCATTCTCATGATCACGAGTATATATAGTGATCACTGTAAAGACATAAACCAGACCGATGTCATATCATACTTAATGAAAATGGCAAGGTTAAGAAGAGCTTCGTTCAGTTTTTAGTGTTAGTAAAAGTTTTATGGCATTTGTAATACAATATATATCATATACGTGCCGAAGATTAGAGGTGTTGCTTGAGAATAACATACGTCAAAAGAAAAAGTAAAAGAGAGATACTGCCGTTATACGTTTGAAAGAAAAGAAAGAGCAAACCTGACATAAGCAGATATGTTATGGAAGGTCTCCCCCCAGCCAATCTTTTCTTTGTAGTAATTGTATATTATACATACCCCCTCACCTACCCTCCGATCTCAGTAACAGTTTTCCGGCATTGCAACAATACGGTCATATAAGTGCGGAAGATTATAGGTGTTACAAGAGTAGAACAAAGGCAAAAAGAGAAGGAGGATAGAAAAGAAGGAGGATAGAAAAGAAGGAGGATAGAAAAGGAGGAGGATAGAAAAGGAGGAGGATAGAAAAGGAAGAGCAAACCACACCAGAGCGCCCACCAAACTCCCACGTTGATGGAAAAAGGCAAAGTTACTACAGGGTCAGTTCTACTTAAGGCAACCACATCCACATTTACATAACTGCGGTTATTTAGAGCAAGATAACAGCCAGACTGCAGATGTTATTTGTTTGTAGTGGAGAAGCATGTCGCAAGACGGATATGAATTCCATTAATTTATATGAATAAAGAAAAGGACGACAGATGCTTGATAGAAAAGAAGGAGCACCACGCCAGAGCACTCGCCAAACACCTGCTACTCTGCTACCCCCGATTCATTACAAAACACAAGCCTACAAAGCAAATAAATTCAATGCAAACGCGAGTACGATAGTAAAATCACAAGGTCTCAAACAGATAAAATATCATGGCACATTGCTTCATGACCTCGCCCCAACTAACCAAGATAAAAAAAACCCCCGGCAGTTTGTAGGGAAAGAACAACTCCCTTATCGACCGCACAATAAAAAATGTAACCGCAGAGAGGTGTTAACCAGAAGTGAAATACTGTCATTGATAAAATTTTCATTACCATGACTGTTGGCACCGGCAAACAAGACCACAACCAACTACAAATTAACAAGATAGATGAGGCAAGATAAGATGACAATTTATTGATCTCTATAAAGAGAAATTTGGTGCGGCACGGTGGATACATTATAATAATATACGTACACACGCTCGTCAAGACGGGTAGACCGACAGACACACACACACATACGCACACACACACACACACACATACACACACACTCTCTCTCTCACTCCCCCCGTACCCACACACGCCCTCTCTCTCTCTCTCTCTCTCTCTCTTTGTCCTTCACTCTCTGACACACACACACAGAGACAAACACACACACACATTCACACACACCACACATACACACACACACACACACGCATGCACGCACACA